CGTTTATTTCATCTATTAATTATCTCACTTCTTTTTTTTTTAATACATAATTGTCATTAAATCATTCTGTAATAAAAAATTATATATGTGCATATGTATATATATATCATCAAACAGTATTATATATCTCATTATTAATTTTCACTGAATGTATACATATATGTATATATATATATATATTTATTTATTTATATATGTTTACCATCGATGAGAACACACCTTTGAGGTGACATCACGATCAATTAGATTGGAAGCAGATAAAGATAGCTGCAGTACACATAAGTAATCACATAAATAATATATATATATATATATACGCATTATGCATATGCATGAAGACTAATTATCAATTAGAAAGCTACGCATACATACACACACACACACACACACATATACATATATACGTTTACGTGATATTGTCTACTTTGTAATATCATATGTCACTATAGACGTAGTCTAAGGTGACAAGGTCATAGGAAAAACACCCCGTCAAAAAAAATATATATATATATAGATATATTATATGCTAATCCAATATATATATATATATATATATATTATATGTATCATCTTTCCTTCTTTACGGTCATTAATTATAAATTTACAAGAAAGTAAAATTTCCATGCATGCATGACTTAGTTTCCTTCCAAGTCACCTTAGAATTTGCTCTCCATATATATATATATATAAAAACACCCCGTCAAAATATATATATATATATATATATATATATATTATATGCTAATCCATATGTATCATCTTTCCTTCTTTATGGTCATTAATTATAAATTTACAAGAAAGTAAAGTTTCCACGCATGCATGACTTAGTTTCCTTCCAAGTCACCTTAGAATTTGCTCTCCTTATATATATATATATATAAACACAGACACATTTATATTATATATATATATATATATTATATTGGAAGTAGCTATAAGTCAACTTCTGGTCACAGTCAGCATATCACTAAAGCAAACAAATTTTAATGCGTACAAGTAATTACTTCATTCTTTCCACAAAATCCAAGAAAACGTTTCTCCTCCTCTTCATTTCATATAATATATATACACGCATGACGGGTATATATATATATATATATATACACATATATGTAAATGTATGTATGTATGTAGAATTACTTGTCAAAATATATAAATCAAGTTTAGATTTTTTATAAAAAAAACATGTAAGTTGTGATAGGCAGCATTGTGAAATAAAAAATGAGAGACATGACAATAAAACTAAAAAATTAACAGAGTATGGAAGAGTTAGTGCAGATTTTAAATATATATACATATATATATATATCGCGAATTTAGAACGAATTTGAATTTTAGCATTCAAATGCGGATTTGGATTTGAATTTTTCAAAAAATTATTTGAAATTCTTAAATCTGATTTGGAGTTTTTCGAAAGTTTTTAGAATTATTAAATCCACTCAGGATTTAGGGTTTAAGACATATTCGACTGTCAATATTCAAATTACGAATTAGGGTTCGAGTTTAGGCCCGCTGCAAATCCGATCAATTGCTAGGTTTGATGTCTACAGGGTAATTATAATTTTTCATGTGATTTTAGAAAATAGTACGTCAAATAATTTCTTTTATAGAATATTGCAAAATTCTCAGGGAATGACATTGATACATATAGGTTATGTATATATATGTGTATATATATATACTGTATGGATAATTGAGTACCTCAATTTGGGAGAAAAGAGGAAGTTGACCGCGAGATCTGAAGAAAAAATCAACTGCTTCATTGCAGGCTGCATTGTTTCCACATGCAGTCTTGTCATGGATTCCTCCTACTCCAATCGCCTGTTGTCCTCCTCTCACATCACCTGATAAACACCCTCCCATTTTCTCGGCTCCCAAACAAAAATTCACTCAAACTTTCTCAGCCAGATTTTCTAGGATTTCTCGGCTCCAAAATCAAATAAAATTCTCCCCCGATTCGCGTAATCTGTATATCTGATTGACCATCCACACAATGCGTATGTACATATATATATATACATATATATAATTCTCTCCTGGTTCGCGTAGTTGTCTTTCGGAGAAGCAGAGAGGAAATTCTGTGCCACAATTGACTCCCTTTTGTGTAGTATTTACAGGTTTTTTAGGTGGTCAGATTTGGAGTCTTTGAGAAGACGGTTGTTTGTTTCTCGGGAAAAACCTAGCGTGCATCTACCAAAATCATGAACATTCAAAACAATACAATTCCCATCTATATTTATATATATATATATATATCTGTGAAAGAAACGTCGTACGTGGATTGGATAAGACACGTAGAAAATGTAAATTGTCGTGAAATTTATGATCCAAATTAATTAAATAATTTTATAAATACATGAAGAACTTCCTGCTTAAAACAAAACGTGTATCAATGGAGAACCACCAACTTTTGCACTATATATCATAAATATATACTGAGGAATATCACCATGTATATATATATATATATGTATACTACATGTTGTATATTATATATCTTGTATTATATATATATATATATAATCATATATTTAACAATGCTATACGCATTTACTTCTGCATTCACACTTTTCACAGTAGCTAAATAAGCTTCCATGACAATGGTATTAATAACAGTATTTTAGAAGTCAGATTACCTGTAGACAAATCCATTCCGGAGCATAATACGACATCGTTTCATAAAAAAGGAGAACATGATCAGAGATGAAAAATTACTTTCATTACTCCCTGTGATAAGATAAACCCTAATCCATGAAAATAAACCAAGTCATCGATCCTCGGCGACAGCGTAAATATATAGCAAATAAAAATGCCAAACCATCCAACGAAAGACCAAATTATACACGACCGACAGTGTTCCTAATTCAATTATGTAAACTAATCAGACATTACAGGGATCAGCCTTGGCCGAATTCAAGGCAACAATTTCAGTTCCGACATTCATCTAATCACACAAAATTAAGAACAAAATTATATTAAACTGCAATTACTGGAAAACACAGACCATCTCTTCTAATCATGCTCATAAGTCCAGAAATTATCCCCTAACAAAAGTAAAGCATTCAAAGGCAACAGAAAGATAATTGCATGTTCAGCCAGGATTTCCGCCTAGATCTTAGTATCCCTCATTTTTGTTTTTTTCAGATAAAAGTATGATCGTAGCTCCCTCGATATAGATCATAGCTTCTAATGCAGGCTGAGGGTTAAACTCTATTCGCCCAACTCGAGACATCTTGCCTGTAAAACAATAAGTTTTAATAAGCCAGCACGGTTGCCACTCAAGTATCTAATATCGGCAAGATGAAAAATCAATAGTTCTTTAAGCTGTCTCGTAGTTTCTTAAGCCAGCAAGGTTGCCGCTGAAGCATCTAACAAAGCAAAGAGCATGAAAATAAGATAGGAAAAAGAGTCATCACTGAAATGGTTTTCATGTCCGAGGGTTGAGCTTTGATGGAAAGTAGGACACTAAGATCAAGCGAGAAACCCAGACCACCAAGTCAACGGAAGGATACAGATGGACCAGCAAAAGAATATCGAGATGAAACTGGTGGAAGGCCTTCATCTGGCTTGGTCACCTGATAATGATGCACCTGGTTATAGTCAGATAAAGCATCAGCAGCATATGTTGAATATAACCTATCCACAGGACCAGGTCCTCTCCTTTCTAAGAGATCAGAGTCGTCCACGTAACTTTCTC